ATGCATGTTACATCCAACAATTGGGGTAAAAAAAAATCACGTTGGTATGTTCTCTGAAGCAGACTATAGCTTTCTTCTGTCTCTGCCCCCAAATAACATTCTTTCTGTTTTTCAAAAACCGGTCGCATTCACAGTGCAGGTGTGCAAGAGCGTGAGCAGGCTGGGAGCAGTGCGCAATGGCAAATGAGGCATGAAAAACTCCTACCATCGACCACGGGTTTGGGCTGCGAGCTCTTCAGCCTCAGCGAGGGCCTGAAGCGGGTTCGGTCGTTGAAGCTCCAGCTCTTCTGGACTTTGGTTGGACTGCCCTCGGTGGCAATGTCGGCACTTGGTGATCGGCGATCTCCAACTGAAGACTGCCTGTTCTTTATACTTTGACCTCGTGGACTGGCCATCCGGACCCGCTCCTTAAAACTCAGCTTTTGACTGTGAAGAAGAGAAATATATTTCATTTCATAGTTCCTTCACTCCATTTCTTTTTTTCTATCATGTTATAGTTGAAAATAATTTCAAAAAATTCTCAATAGTATGTGTTTCTTACACACTTTTATTTTCATTGAATATATTTCATTTGGGAATGAAACTGATTTGATGTGATTGTTTCTTGATAGAGGCATTATCAATGACAGTCTATCTTACAATACAGAATAACCTTGTAAAGGAAATTAAAATTAATAGAAACAAATTTCACCCAATTATTTTAGATTAATCTCCAAGATTTTTTTTATATTCTTTGAATTGTATATACATTTATTTCCATCTTAGTCAGCCCAGCTCAGTGCATTTCTGGCCATCTCTTCAAATACACAAGAACAAAATATATTCTATTATTATCGCATGCCATGTAGTACTGTGTTTTGTTTTGTTTTGTTTTGTTTTAAGCAGGCAAAAATACTGTTAGTATATTCATGCTTTTTTGAGATGTGGCACTTCCAACATTTCATATGCATTGTTAGTGATCACTCATATCCAGTGTTCCTTGTTACAGCACTTACTTGGACAAGACAAAACCAAAATCACCAAACATCCAAGAAACAGCGTGATGACCGATTAATGGAAATGTAATGATAGGCTCTGTGCTCACTAAAGTCATTGCTGGAGATGAAGCTGGGAGCTGACTACCTGCAGGTAGTATTAGACAGGCGCTTTAGGACAGGTACAAGAGCCCAGCCAAGCTCATGACTATGACTGCTGGATCAATGCTGGCCCTGTGGTTTTACAGTTGGCCAATTGTAAGCTGATTTTTTCCCTCCTGTGCTTATAACCCTCCCCTCCAGTCAGTTAACTGCGGGTTATGTAGATTTTCTACTTCCCAGTGCTTAAATTACCTTTGTTCATGTTCAAACATATCTGATGAACATCCTGTGGTCACCATGACTATCTGCTTGTGCTTTTTCATTATTTAACATTTCTGCCTTTGTCTCTTCCTGTAGTAGGAGGCACAAAGGGGAAACAGAAAGGAAGTCTGATACCAAGGTTTGGAAACCTTGTTTTATCTACAAGGTTAAGTTCAACTGCCTGTACAAAAGAATTGTTTTCTTGATCAGTGGTCCTGTTCTTGCAAGGGGAGAGATGATGGGAACAATGAGGAAGCTGCTCATGGTATGTTGTTAGTGGGTCTTGCAGTCCTACTGCCCTGGCGTAGCCTTTGGGGGAGCTTTTAAAACACCTACAGCAAAGACTGTGTACCTGCAAATTATAATTGTACTTGAAGTTAAGACACTTTCTGGTACTCTCAAAGTCTTTGCATTTAACTTCAGCATGCCCGTAAGATGTTTTCAGCAGAAATGAATTCTGCAGCTAATTAACTAATGCTAACGTGGACTCTGGTTCTTAGATGTTTAACCTACTGCAGTCTGAAAATACAGTGTTAATATGTAATTATATGAAATGGAAAGTAGTTACAAACTTCTGTGGCTGTGAAATGTTGAGATAATCAGATATCTTTGTCCATGCATAGCATAGCATAGCGTAACATAGCATAGCATTTCATTCTGAATACAGACAACACTGAGAGCAGAAAGGATGCAGTTTGTAGCAGGCAAAGTGCATGCTGGGAAGCTTATAATGAGACAATTTTCGAGAATGCTAAAAAATGAGCACATCAATAGAAAGATTATTAGATAAATGTGTTTCTATATGGCATGTTGAATCACTTGAAAGAATACCTTTACTATAATTTCTGAATGTAATCCCCTTCTTCCTTTGCCCAAAGTAAGCAATTGTTGAAATAAACACATCATGGTGCTGGAAATGTTATCTATTTCCACTGCAAACTGTCACCCAGACCTGCAGTACTGTGTGCTGTTGCATACGGAATACAAAAGACTCATAGAACCTACCATTTGAAAGAAAAGTGAGTTCTAAAATTTAATTTTCAATACAAATTACATTTCAAGACTGAATTACATTTCAGCTCAGAAATCTTTTACAGTGTAAAACTTAATGAAAATATAAGCTGTAAAATATTTATTAACCACATTATTGCATTGTCATACTATACAGTATGAGCAACAGAATCAAAATGGACTTTGTATTATAGATATTATTTCTAGGCATGTGTCCCCTGTTCTTTTTTTAACTCCTCTTACGGCTCAAATTATATTTGCTATTGAAGCATGAAATCAAATTATGTATTTTTTTGACAAATCTTAAGAGTTAAAAAGTTTCTGGACAGCTCCTTTCCTGTTGCACTAATTTAAATGAAAGGAAAAATTATTAAATAGCCATAAAAATGATCAGTTTGGACCATATTTTTTATAATCCCATTAATTCCAAAATAAAAATGAAAATAGAAAAATGAAAAAAGCATTGTTCTGTCAATTAATTTGTACTAATGAAACCAATGGCTGCCTTTAAATGATTTGTACATATGGTTATTTACTTTATAAAAGCTGAATGGTACACAATGGCTACTTAACCTGAGTATCTTTATCTCTCCAAATCAAAGCAATGAGGTAATGATGAAAGGAACAGTAGACACTTCATCTGTACTAGAGACATTTTTCAAAAGTGCAACACTGAGAATGAAAATATTAATTTAAAATGCAGACCTCAAACTTAAAAAAGAAAAAAATCTGCTCTGTAGCAATGGCAATGTAATGGCATGCCAAGAGTACATGCGGAGGATGCTGTACTGCGAAGAGAAACTCAGCCCCTGAAGGAAGCGTGTTTTTGAAACTCTATTTTGCATCTTCAGAGTTTTTCCAAAGACACTGGTTATAGCAGTTCTTTGCTTCTTGGGTCCTTCTTCCTATTTTGAGACTGGTGGGAAATATTCCTGAAGTCACTGGGTCCTACTCACCACAGGCATAAATTGTATGACTTGCAGCAGTGGAGAATTCATGCTTGGGAGAAGAAAACTGCTGTCCTTGGGAGCACACTGCCATGGGGCTCTTCTATATATGATAAATAACAGAACATGAAGGAATAACTGAATCAGAGAATTTTGGGGGCATCCTGACCAGGCTTTTTCCCACAGTGAGAGTCCCTTTCCTTACAGGTTAAACAGTTCCTGGCTTTTGATTCTCTATTGCCACAGTGGTAGAGATGGTTTTAGAGATACAGAGTGGAGATAATCTCCCTTTCAAGCATCTGTGCGCATTCTGCACTTGAATCAGTAGCCAGTGAAGCCTTTAGGGCCTTTACTCTGATTTAATGCTGGTTGGATTAGCCCTATCCAGTGCTGTGTTAAAAATCCTTCACCTCTTGCAGGACCTAGCCTATTCTATTTTCCTCTCTCCCCTTTTCTCCTCTCGTTTTACATGATATCTACAGGAAATCCCCTCAATGAATGTAAACCTGTTAATGGCCATTGGAAATTCACATATCCCTGTAAGTGCTCCTAAACTTTCAGTTGAATGTTGTTCAAAAAGGCAAAATCCATGAGAAAGAAACAGGAAAATGGGTGTCTAAATTCTTTCTGAAATTATCTAGGTTCCTGAATAAGACGTAAATGACAAGGATCTGAGAGAACCAAAGCCATCTTCAGTCATCTCTGTGTTCTTTTAGATGTTTGTCTGTCCATCATTTCTTGTACCTTACATGATTTATCGCAGTTTGGTATATATACATATTTGCTTGGTATACATACATATTTGCTTTCTATTACAATCTTCCTTGGCAATGCTAATCTCTTTGGACCTATTGCTCCTCTTTCCTTGCAGGTTGCAGGTTGCAGAATATATTCATACGGTTGACACTGGCGCTTTGAAGCATTTTTTAGTGGAGATCAATTACAACCGGCACCTGTGGGAAAAAAGCAAGTGACTTTTCTCTGCTTGCCTTCTAGAAGGTCAGTTGTAGGATCTTACTGCTTACTTTTCCCATCAGTACATGCACGAGCCGTTCACTTCCCTGGGATAGCAAAGGACTTTCTAGTTATGTCTTTTTAAAATTCTGTCTTTTCCACCTTTGATTTATGAAGGAAGAGCTGTTTAGGGACGCTAGAGGTCACTGTAGCTTCACTGCAGGGGGAATGAATACCTCTCCTGGACCAAATGACTAGACTTGAAAAGATTTTGTTTAATTTGATAAATGCCTGCAAGCCGTTACTTTTCTCTTCCATACCCACAGCTCTGTCTGTCTTCCATGGACCACCTTACTATACTTTTTGGTTAACTGGGCATCTCTTTGCCTCCCAGTCCCACTCCCCTATTTCCCTTCCTACCTCCCTGCACTTCACAGAATCACAGAATCATAGAATGGTTTGGGTTGGAAGGGACCTTAAAGATCATCTAGTTCCAACCCCCCTGCCATGGGCAAGGACTCCTTCCACTAGACCAGGTTGCTCAAAGTCCTATCTAACCTGTCCTTGAACACTGCCAGGGAAGGGGCAGCTACAGCTTCGCTGGGCAACATGTTCCAGTGTCTCATCACCCTCACAGTGAGGAATTTCTTCCTTACATCTACTCTAAATCTACCCTCTTTCAGTTTAAAACTGTTGCCCCTTGTCCTATCACTACAATCCCTGATCAAGAGTCCCTCCCCACCTTTCCTGTCGGTCCCCTTTAAGTACTGGAAGGCCGCTCTAAGGTCTCCCCAGAGCCTTCTCTTCTCCAGGGGGAACAACCCCAAGTCTCTCAGCCTGTCCTTATGGGAGAGGTGCTCCAGCCCCCTGATCATTTTTGTGGCCCTCCTCTGGACTTGCTCCAACAGGTTCATGTCCTTCTTGTGCTGGTGGCCTCAGAGCTGGATGACCTCCCTCAGCCTGCTGGCCACACTTCTTTTGATGCAGCCCAGGATGCGACTGGCTTTCTGATTGTATTTCTGGTCAAGTTTATCTTCTGCCCTGCTACAGCCTCAGACCTGCAGCACGACTGCTTGCTACTAGTCACAATTTACGATTTATTTTTCAGCTTTTCATGCCAAGCCAGCTGGTGGAAGTGGGAATAGGAAGAAATTGAAATGAATCAGAAGTAACTGGAGGGCCCAAGGGTGAGGGAGAATGCTTTGGATCTTGAGTCGAGACAGAAGCTAAAACTGCCAAACATTATCACTCATAGCAAACAACAGCAAGCAAATGTACGTGCCAATTTTCAGCAGTTAACTTCCAGTAAATACAGATGTTGATTCTTACCAAGCATACAGAAAACTTTACTGAAATTAAGCTAAGTTGAACAAATGCAAATGCAATGGATAGTACAGTGAGGCCTGAAGTTCAAACATTCACGACTTCTCCACCAGTCTCATGCTAGGACCATGAACCCAAGAAATGCAGCGTTATATCTCTTACCTTCAATGAGTAATAACAAGAATTTCAGGGACTTAATATCTTAAAGTTCAACCATAAAACAGAAAAAAATAAATGAAGTTCAGGGGTTTTATGTATTTTTTCCTTTCTCAGAACAGTTTCCAGATGAAGAGAAACTATTTTTTATCTCCATTTTCTATCATCAGTTTGTACTTTTTAAAAAGTAAGAAAAAAACTGTAATAAGTTTGAGTTATAAATCAAGGGTTTCTTCCCATAAGATCCATCCATCTAGGAATTACCATTTTTGGTAAGAGACACAATTTCCACAGAATTCAGCTGAAGCAAATGATTGATTTCACATGCATTCCTCTACCTTCCAGTACAGGACACAGGCACAGCTTCCGTGGACTGTGTCCAAGGGGATTCTTCTCAACAACAATTGCACATTTTGACTGTTGGTATTGCCTAACATATTATAGGTTAATATTCATCACTAATTATTAGATGGAGAACTCAACTGCCATGGTTATAAAAATCCTCTTGGACTTGGGGAAATGTCTTTACCCAAATATTCAACCCCAGTTTTAGATCTCCGCAGGGTAATGCATTCCAAAAGTTCAAGTCTCAGGCAGAGAAGGGGAACCGGGGCTTCAGCAAACCGTGGCGTGCTACACGCTGCAACTGTCCGACCAGATGAGTTTCAAAGAACTGGTATTATTGCCATTGCATTAATGTCATCACAGGCAACAAGCAACAAAGGAACTACAAGCACTTAAAAACAAATAAGTTAAGAAACCTCCTCTGGAGAAGTATAGAACTTTAAAGCACTAAGGAAGGGAAGTAAATGAATCATGCACCTGATGTTAGTTGGCATTCTCAAGCATCATGTGAATATGCAGGATGCTGAATACCTATGTTTCCGAGGGGTGTACATCCTGAAGAGCTTCTGTTTATTACTACAAAGCTTACTAGGAGTGAGGGGAGATAGAGGACTGTGTTACTAAGCATTCCACTGCTAGGTAAGGGGATAGGCTTTCCACCTCAAGTTAGTTTCTGATCATTGGCAACTTCTTTTTCGTATGGTGCATGCAGACAGTTTACTTTAGATCTGCTTTTAGAAATGGATATGGTATAGGAGGTGGAGAGAATTCCAGAGTATAATTTACTTATTTCCCTCAAAGCAGGGATGAGTTTTTCCCCCAGGCTCCTATACTGGCAAAACTTCTCATTGCACCAGAGAGAGTTGTCTGAATAGGGAATTTGTATTCAGGCTTACTAGTTACAACACTAGATGGGTAACGTTCTTCTTTTGAAGACACCCAGTGCATGTCCTGCACATAGCTTAAGACTGCTTATGCTCTCAGGATGTTGTAAGATTCATCAGTCTTGATCTAGTTTCCTAGACAGGAAGAATTTCAGCCACACTGTATAACTGAACAGAAATAAATATTATTTGTGTTCAGTGTGTGCATGTGTAGATATGGGGAATTTAACATACAGGCTTTTTAAAAAACTTGCAGAACTCTAGAACAGATTTACAGAAATATCTCATTTACAGTATGGATACACCAGAGAGGTTGTCTACCCTTTTGATAAATGTTTAATTAGAATACTTGTGTATAATATTTCGAGAAATCAACATACATATTTTTTCTTAAAATCAGTATGAAGCTACAGCCTCATAAGCACAGCTCTCTTAACACAAATGCACAGCAACATTTAGTTACCTAACGGAAGACTGTAGGTCTATACATGACAAAACGCAAGAATTAATTTCTGTAAATATAAAAGTCATTTTGGTAGGAAAGAAAATAATTAACTTTTACCTAAAGTAATAAAAGTTTTTCTCCACTGTTATTAGAATTGAGTACAGAGCAAAGAGCATATTCAGAAGGCAATCCAATGCACTACTTGTGCAAACACATCTTCATTTAAAGAGTGAAACATGAAGCAGCTTACTTAGTTCACATAGCATCCCATGCAAGTCACTCAGCATTGCAGTAAGAAAGAAGTTAAATAGTCGAGGACAGTTATCTTGAAGTACATTGCAGCAGTTTGCATTTACATTTTTAACATAGAAGACCACATACACCACATGTATTTTAAGTGATACAAACACAGAGCAATATATCAGCATAAGAACGATAAACAGCCACTGACAAAACACACTTTTTTTAAAAGGCACTGAGTGGTCTCTAGGGTTTTTACTGTAGACCAGGATCTCAGGAGTTGACTAGTTCATTTTTATACCTACACTAATTTGCAGCAGTGCACATATTAGTTAAGAATTTCAAAAGGGACAAACATCTTCTATTCAGTGAAAATAAAGTTAAAAAATCTGTCTAAATCATTGACTACTTTTAAAACCACAACAGTTATCACTAACATGGAGCCTGTAATATAATTTTGTCAGACAGGGTTTTTTTTGCATCCGTGTTTTACTTATTGTAAATAAATTTGTCTCTTTAAGTGCTCACAGGTACAACTGAGAATAACCACTCCCCTCTGCACAAATCCCTGTTTTGGAGGTATGTACTAATTTACTGCCAACTTCAGTCTCACCTTTAGAAAAAGTTGAAGTCAATTTTAAATGTTGCTGCTGAAGGAGTAGGAAATATGTCTGGCGAGTGCAAAAAGTTTTGATCACGCTGTAATGATTTAATGAGATCAATACGTTGCTAGCAAGCCTATGGAGGTAATGGATATGGAAAGTCACAGAACAGACAGAGCAGCTGAAGTGCTCTTGAAGGACATCGCAGAGCAAATCTAGTCCCCTCCAGTTACTGTGACACTAACAGCAGTTATGTGCACATCAGGGAAAAGGATGGAGTCAGGCACTGGAGGAGCAATCTGGAAAGTGGAACGGGACACGGGTAATCCATGTGAAGATATTACACCCCTGTTTGTGTGTGAGGTGCTGCGGTGCTCAGACTCCTCACAGGTGACTGAATAACCTGAAGAGTTTGTGAACCACAGTACAGCTTGAGGGCAGATGTATTTCAGGGGCTGATGTGTCACTGACACTTCTTTTCTTGGCTTTTCATCGTTTTCTGCTCGGAGGTAAATGCCGCTACTCTCTGATCATGCTGATGCCACAGTGCCGGCTGCCGAATGCCTGCTGACTCCATCCCTAATGAGTTTTGGAGGTGGTGTAATTTCTCTTGTAGCCACTGAGTCCTTCCTTGTCTGTAAGGATTCGAGCTGTAAGTATGGCAAAGAGCAGCATTTCCTCTTACTGCCTTAGGACTGTGCATCTCCAGGGCTTTATTTCCCAGCAAGCATAGCCCTGCCAAGGCCTGCCCCTGCGCACTGTAGGCAGCTGGTCCTCAGCCGGCATCCAGGCTGGGTGGAAACCCCACCTGCCCTCCTGGCTGGCAGTGGTGGGGCTTATTTAAGGAGAGATGTCAGCCTGCCTCCTCCACCTGAACGGGGCCATGCAAGAGTGCAAACCAAGCAACTAGGAGGGGGTGAGCCACTGCAGTGGTGCTTTCCCACCACCCGCCATGTCCCAAAAATCTCCTTAGGAGGGGACGTCAGGAAAAGGTTAGGAAACGTGGAGACATGGCACTGAGGAAGCCTAGAGGACGCTCCTGCAGGACAGCACAGACTCTTGCTGAGGTGACATCCAACCAGCCCTGCTGGGAGAACCTCAGCCTGCAACAAAGGGCTGGTGGGCTTGTTCACAAAGCCAAATGCTTGTAACTTCCACTGCAGTTCCTGGAGACTGCGAGCATTGATTTTATGGCAGAAGCTGGGGGCCACATTCTTGCCCAGGACCTGAGTCTGGGGAGGCTGTTCCAGTTCCTGCTCTGACACTGTTCGAACTGAGCTCCCCCACAGAGTTAAAACATGTGGCTAGAAAAGTAAAAAATTGCCTAGTTTTTCCATACACAGCTGAGACAAAGAAGCAAATTTCAGCAGCATTAGTCTATCGATATGAGTTTAAAAAAATGCAATTTGTGATTATTATCAGTTAACAGTTACAGTTCATTGAACCTACTGTACAGAACCCGAGACATCTAAAAGCCATTAAGAATCAGCAATTTCACAGATAAAAGAAATAAAAGAAACTACAAACCTGCTAGAAGCTTCCCCTTGTTCTTTTCTTCAGGTCAGGGAGTGGGAGGGAAAAACATACTTGTTATGCAGATAGTAATCACATTACTTAGTTACAGATGATGTTAGATATATGATAAACATAAATGGATATGTTAATTAGTGTACAACACACACATTACATTGCAACCACAAAAATATTCAAGCAAGACTCGTAACTACAATGCTTCTGAAAAAGAAACTTTTGTTTTAAAACATGCATAACATGCTTAGTACATACCACTGCAGACTGAGTTGGCAAAGCACTTAGGCAAAATGCATTGCTGACACATATATAACAGAAAGCTGTAGGCTCTTATTAGATAAAGTTATCTCTGGTAAATAAGAAGGTTGAATTTTAGGATAGCACAGCAATATGCTTAAAAAGTAACAAGTAGATGCACTTTTGATGGACAGTCATATTTTAGTATATCTTAAGTGGGATACAGCTTGATTATTTCTGTAATTGTATATCTGTCCATTTATACCAATGTATAAGCCTTCAACCTGTTTGTATATGTCAAAAATCAATATTCCATGTAACTTTTATTCTAAAAGCTCCTTTTAGTTTGGAGCATTTTGGAATTACAGTTATGGTAATAGATTACTTATGGCTCTGTTCTTGTCAACTCTTTGAAATTCAAAGATCAGCTTTGGGTACCCAGCCAAACCTCTTTTTGGCTGAGCTTTTTTGGCACATGATTACCTTTTTACTGTCATGTGGATGTTCATCACCCAGCTTTGAGAAAAACCACTAATTCTCTTGCACTGTCTGCAATAACAAGAGTTAGGATGCTTATCAGAGCTTTCCCATAAGGCTCTTAACACTATCCTTTTTGATCTTTATCGAGTATCTTACTTCCTGATTTGTGCCCTGTATTGAATCAGTCAACTTACTACCTTCTGGTGAATCTTATACTGAATTATTGAAGAGTCTTGGACTGCCAGGGCTCTTGTGAATTCTCACCCAAACTAGGACATAAAATATTTCCTGTGTGCCAAACTGTGACATCAGATCTTTTTAGTCATCTTCCACTGATATGTGTATAACTGAGGATATAATTTGCCTAAGGAAACACTGAATAGATCAGAAGTTATGATGAGAAGGAGCAAATTCCCCAGTGCATTCACCTGCAGAATACCACAAGGCTCTCTTTGCTTGAAAAGGTAGATCTGTAGCTATAGTGTTATACAGTGGCACAGGTGAAAAAATAGCATTACATCTAGGAACAAGCTCTGCATTAAACTTAATATTTTCCTCCTTAGAGATAATTTGGAACTGGATGAAACATTAACCTTGATATATGAGTGTGTTTTTTGGGAAAATGTTTCTAATGCCTGTGCTCAGTGATATTTCTTAGATAAATGGCAATGATTTGTATTTGTCCCACTGTCCTAGGCTCCTAGGTAACATTCACCTGATTTGTTAGCTGAAGTTTTTAATGAGAGGACTTAAGACAAAACAAGACAAAAGAGACAAATAGTAATTCTCTATAAGCTTGAACAGACATCAAGAACAGCACCAGCTGCCATATTTGTACCTACTTTGTAGGGCTGCAGGTATGCAAGGCCTTCAAATGAGGCTTCCAGGTAGCAATGGAAACCGATTTCTCATCAGCCGCATAACTACGCCATACACACTACGTGCAGGATATATGGTAAAAAAGAAAAAACAAGGCAAGAGGGAGCAGGGAATGAAACAAAAAAATTGAAAAGCAGATTAGTAACCAATACAAGTCATGGCTTTCTTTTATCATTCATAGCACTGATACATGCCTGAGGGGAGGAAGAATACTTTCATAATATCGCCAGGTGGCTGTCAGGTTTGTTCGGCTGGCGTCGGTAGAATAAAACCGCCAAGAAGCCTGGTATGGGGAAACAATAGAAAAGCACAAAGGAACCAAGAATGTGAAGTGACAACGCCACCACACTGATTATGGAGAGAGGGGATTTTGCTCAGCCCAGGATGTGCTCTGTTAGGTAGATTAAGGAAATACCAGCAAAAACCTACCAAAACTTCTGTCAATCATGGTATACTTTACATGGTAGAGTAACAGTTACTGGCTTCATGGAAGCAGCAGAAGATATTCAGCACATAATGGTGCTCAAAAAAGCATCACAGTAATTTATATTTGTGACAAGTCCATAGGGGACACCCACACAAACTTGCATTCTGAGGTGAAGAAAGGGTCATAATACATTTCGTAAATTATAATGAAAACCAGACAAAAAGCATTTAGAAGAAAAGAGAAGTGTCCTCTGTAGCTTGAAACACTGCTAAATGTTTAAAAATACAAAATAAATAATTTCAAAGGTGAGTGACCAAAGCATAGCATTGAAAATGCATTCACTGTTTAGATTTGTAACTGCATGTAGATAGTAAGACAGTTCCTTGGTTCTACAAACTGGAACAGCTTCACTGATGTCAGCATAACTATATTAATTTGTCCTAGCTGAGTATCTCTGCTTCCTGTACATTGTCAACCATTAAATGTCAACCAGGTATTCTTGTATGGAGTCTAATACCCTGTGTTTTCCTACTGCATACCTCCCAGAAATACATCTAGTCTTCATCTACAAATGGAGAACCTGTCACTTACTTTGTAAATGTTTCCATTGGTTGATCATTCTTATTGTCAAAAATCTCTGCATTATTTTTAATTTGAAACATTGTTTTTGGCTTATAGCCAGGGATATTTGTTATGTTTCTGTCTGTTACATTAAATAGTCCTGTAGTTTTCAGTACTTGCCGTCCGCACTTTTATGTTCAAATGACATTCACACTGAATATTTCTTATAAGCTAAAGAAATTGAGAAAAGTATGGCTGTATGAAACATCACAGTTTTCCATAGTGATGCCTCAGCTATCTTCAAGTCAGGTAAAGGCTCTAGCACACAGCATGTCTATGGCAACAGAAGAGTTAGCAAAGACTAATTCTACAGAGTAACTGATTAGAAAATAAATATTAGATAAGCTAAAGCACACTGATTTCCATGGTAGTTCATTATCAATATCCACAACAGACAATTTAAAAAAGCCTGGGCACTGTTATGGTAGACAATGATGCACAGTTCAGACAAACCCTGCATTTTTGAACGTGAAATTTTCTCCAGTCCTGGACTAATTTTTTTCCCAATGTTTTCTTTGCTTTCTCCAATTTTCCAGTCTCATTTACAAACTGTAGATGCTGAGTTGCTATGTAGCATGTTAGTACCAGCATCACGATACACAGTGGTAACATCAGTCTTCTCCTACTTGTTACCTTTCTGCTTCTGTATCTAAGGACTGTAATAAACCAACTGGAGTAACATACTGGGAATATGTATGAAGATCTTGATCTTCTCTCAC